AAGACAGCATCTTCCTGGTGTACATACACCGCAGAACACAGACTGGAGACGCAGATGCAGCAGCAGCAGCAGCAGCAATAGCAGCAGCAGCAAGCAGCAGCAGCAGCAGAAGAATCGGCGCTGCTGCTCGCTTCCAAGAGTAAGCCAGAGTGATAGGCGAGTGGCGCAGCAGCAGCAGCAGCAAAAGCAAGAGCAGCAACGCGACAATACCTTTTTTTCTGCCAGCTGCTGCAGCTGCTGCAGCAGCTGGTGCAGCTCTGGCTGCTTGGCGAGGCGCTGCAACTGCTGTGCTGCTTCTGTATCCGGAGCAGCAGCAGCAGCAGCAACAGGGGGCTGCCCGGGGCAGACAGCAGCAAGCTTGGCTTCTGCTGCTGCTGCTTTTGCTGCAGCAGCTTCTGCAGCAGCACGGAGGGCTCTAGCGTACTCTGCAGCGTCGACTTGCAGCCCCGGTGTTGCTGTCGCTGTTGCTGTTGCTGCTGCTGCTGCTGCTTCCTCGGGATCTGCTGCAGTAACTGCAGCAGCAATTGCTGCTGCTGCTGCTGCTGCTACGCGGGGCGGGCGCACATCACAAGGCACTGGGGCCCTCAGCAAGCTGCTGCTGCCCCGCCTATGCTGCAGCGGCAGCTGCTGCAGCAGCAGCAGCAGCTGCTGCAGCGGAGCAGCACGCAGTGCCTCCAATCCATCCTTGTCCTGATAAACATCACCGCCTCTAAACCTTAAACCCTAAACCCTAAATCCTAAACCCTACACCCTAAACCCTAGGGTCTGGGCCCCAAGTCACAAATACCTAAACCTTGCAGCTGAGAAGCCACATACACTACCCGCTGCTGAGGCTCTGCGAGAACCGAAACCCTAAACCCTAAACCCTAAATCCTAAACCCTAAACCCTAAACCCTAAACCCTTACAGGCACTGCCAAGTACTCTGGAGGCGCATTGGCAAAGTCTGTGGGGTCCTTTTGGTAAGGCGTCGGCTTGTTGTTTATTGACGAGGGCCGAGTCTGCACAAAACCCTAAACCCTAAACCCTAAACCCTAAACCCTAAACCCTGGACCGTAAACCCTTGGAGCAGCGGTAGGCTACAGGGGCCTTGAAAGAAATGGATTCCAGGCAGCAAAGCAGCAACGGGCAGCCAGAAGCAGAAGCAGCAGCAGCAGCAACAACAGCAAAGCCGAGCCTGAGGCAGCACCAGCAGCAGCAAGGTAACAGCAGCAAAGCCCAGCAAGAAGCAGCAGCAGCAGCAACACAACTGACCTTTTTGGGTCTGCTGCGGTTCCAGTGCTTCGCGCCTTTCTTCCGAGGATGGTGCGCGTAGAGCTGCCGCTGCTGCTGCTGCTGCTGCTGCTGCAGTTGCTGCAGCGAGCAAGACTGCCTATGTAAGGAAGAAACGCTTTCGCTGTATAGCCTTGCTGCTGCTGCTTGCGCTGCTGCAGTTGCTTCTGCAGTTGCTGCGGGCTTGTAGGGGGAAGAGCAGAAGGCAAAATGCCGCTGCTGCAGTGGCGAGGTGCTGCAACAGCTGCTGCTGCTTGTTGCAGCCGCCGGCGCAGCAGCAGCAGCTGCTGCTGCTGTTGCTGCAGGCCACCAGCAGCAGAAAATGTAAAGGCTGGAAGCAAACAAAACCCTAAGAGGGCAGCGCCTCCGGCTGAAGCGCTGCAGCGTGAATTGCTGTTGCTGCTGCAGCAGCAGCAGCCGCAGTTGCTGCAGCAGCTGGAGCAGCGGTTGCTGCGTCGCCACTTGGGGGCACCGCCACATGGAATACGATGCAGCAGCAGCAGCAGTAGCAGAAGCAGCAGCAGCACCGGCAGCAGCAGCTGCTGCAGCGCGTTGAGGCCTAAAAGGGGATACCCATTGTGACTCTCATGAACTGTTGCTGCTGGTTCTGCTGCTGCTACGGTCCTGCTGCTGAGCACTGCAGCGTCAGCTGCTGGTGCTGCTGCTGTTGTTGCCGGTGCTGCTGCTGGTGTCGCTGCTGGTGTTGTTGTTGCTGTTGACGTTACTCCTGCAGCTGCTGCCGCTGCTGTTGCTGCTGCTGTTTCTGTCGCGGTTGCTGTTGCTGCTGCTGTTGCTGCTACTGCTTCTGCTTCTACTGCAAGGAAGGATTTAGCGCCGCTGAGAGCCGAATGGCGCAGCCAGCAGCTCAAGAAGGAGGGGGCCCCTCAAACCCTAAACCCTAAACCCTAAACCTAAACCCGAGACCCTAAATCGTAGGCCCTAGCCCCCGACCGGTGTGTCTTGCTGTAAATAATGCAGAAAAAGAAACGGAAATATAAAAAACTAGAGCGAAACAACAGCCTCTTGTGGTGTTCTAACGTTTAGGGTTTAGGGTTTTGGGTTTAGGGTCTAGGGATGGCTCCGATGGGGCTGGCAAGTGAGCGAGGGGTCTTAATCAAATTCTGCTGGACCCAAAATGAATTGATTTCGAGGGTTTAGGGTTTAGGGTTTGGTGTGTAGGGTTTAGGGTTTAGGGTTTAGGGTTTAGCGGTTGCTTGTCTCATGGTGTCTCGGCGTGTCGGCGCTGCTCTGTAGGCTTCGCCCCTGCGTCAAGGGTTTAGGGTTTAGGGTTTAGGGTTTAGGGTTTGAGCCCCTGCAGCAGCAAATGGCAGCTCTCTCCCCTTCCTCAGTTTCCCTGGTGGTGCCTGCAGCAGCTGCAGCTGCTGCTGCTGCTGTGTCCGCGTCTGGTGCAGCAGCAGCAGCAGAACTCTGCAGCAAACGCGTTGCTGCTGCTGCGCTGCTGCAGCAATTCGATGTCTTCGTCTTTGACTGCGACGGGGTCTTGTGGCACGGCAGCAAACTGCTGCCGGGCATCCGGGGCATGCTGCAGCAGCTGCAGCAGACCCCCCGCAGCAGCAGCAACAGCAGCAGCAGCAACAGCAAAAAGAGCGTCTACTTCCTCACAAACAACAGCACTCTTAGCCGCAGGGGTTTCATTGAAAAGCTAAATGGGCTGGGAATTAGGGCCACGGAGCAGCAGGTCACACCCTAAACCCTAAACCCTAGACGCTGAACCCTAAACCCTAAATGCCGAATGGCAAAACCTAAGCCCTGAGGCCTAGGCTGCTGCCGTCTATATCAGTGAAGGATTCTGCAGGCGTTAGATTAGGGTTTAGGGTTTGGGGCCTAGGGTTTAGGCAGTAGGGCCTAGGGTTTAGGGTTTAGAGTTTGGGCGCTGCAGGTTCTGTGCACAAGTTATTCAACGGCCAGGTACATCCTGCAGCAGCGGCAGCAGCAGCAGCAGCAGCCCTGCAGCAGCAGCAGCACAGAGCAGCAGCAGCAGCAGCCCTGCAGCAGCAGCAGCACAGAGCAGCAGCAGCAGCAGCAGCAGCTGCAGCAGCTGCTGCTGAGGCCGAAGGTGTATGTGGTTGGAGAGAAGGGTTTGCTGGAAGAGCTGCGCTTGAACGGCATCGACGCCATTGGCGGTTCCGAAGGTGCTAAACCCTAAACCCTAAACCCTAAACCCTTAACATCAAAACCTAAACCCTAAACCCTAAACCCTACGCGCAGAAAACTACAGTTAGTCTTTGTTGTGGGAGCCATGAGCCCGAAGAAGACCCCCGAGGAGCCACGCTGTGGAAACTAAACCCTAAACCCTAAACCCTAAACCCTAAACCCTAGGATCGTCCCAAAGCGAGGGGCGCAGCACGCTCCCGCATCGAAGGCGCAGCAAACCGCCTTGGGATTCCCCGTGTGCCCAACCCCCGAATCAGGGTTTAGGGTTTAGGGTTTAGGGTTTGGCGCTGGGTTGCGGCAGAGGCGTACGAGGAAATAGACTTCAGGAGTGACCCTGGGGTGTACGTACACCCCGAGGTGGGCTGCGTCGTCGTCGGCCTCGACCGGAAATTCAGTTATTTAAAACTTCAAAAAGCTCAGTTGTATTTGAACTGCCAACACTCTGTGTTTCTGGCCACCAACGCGGACCCTCTCGGGAACTTCTCCACCAAACAGGCGCGCAAACCCTAAACCCTAA